TCTAAGCACCCACGGGCCAGATCTGGCCCTTGGACCTTGAATTTGACACCCCCGGTTTAATCTATTTAAAAAAAACAATTTGCTGTGTTGAGTCATATTTTATGTTTTTTTAATACTTTGAATTACAACAGATCATCCTTTTTTTAAATTTTTCAGGTACAGAGCTCTAACAATCCTGCAGTAAGGTTTAATACTTCCTGTATGGAAAGTGAGTAGTCCAAATAACTATTTTACAGATTATCATTCAATAAATCATATTGAACAACATTTGTAACTCAAGTACAAAAATATGTTAATATTGACAATTACATTTTCAATTCTTGATAATTTAAATTAATCTAAATCAAATAAACAGCAAAAGAAACTTCTTGAGCAAGTATGTAAATGATGCACTCATTGGACATCATATTAAGAGTGAACTATAATGATTCTGTTCTGAGTGCAAGGGAATACTTAAATGTCTCAATCATCTTCTTGAAATATCCTTGAAGTATTAATTCCATCCAATATTTTTTAAAGTGTTCATGCTACTAGTTGGGTTCTCAGTTCCCATAAGTCATGAGTCCCCAATCCCTGGATTGTGGCCCACTACTGGGCCGTGAGCTGTTTGGAACTGGGCTGCAGAAGTGGTGGGTGACTGTGCATTTGTGTGCGTGTGTGTGCTCTCCATTTGCACCAGTGGCAAACGTGAGTGTCTGCTGCTCGCGCAAATGGAGATGGGTGCACTTACTGGCGGTTCACACAGAACTTACAAAATTAACAGAAGAATTTTTTCCTCCAGTTCTTAAAGTAATGTTCCAGCACCAAGTATTTATTTTCACATTGAGTTATTTGGAATTATATATTTCAGGTCAATAGCTTTATCAAAAATAAACTACAAACGGTTATTAAAGTGAATTCTTACCCTAAACTGCAATTACAATGGATAGGTGCTACAGCTTAACTCTATTATAGTTAGGAATGGGCAGTCATAAATTTGGCTGAACAAGGGCAGCAGCTGCAGCACACACTCAAATCCACAGAACATTCCACTACACAGCAAAAATCAGAGAATGCACTATGTGAGTGTACTGTTTTATCTCCACATACACATGGCAGGATGCAGAAGCTAATCGAGGCTGGTATTCCATCTCAGAGAAAAGCCTCCTTGCCTCTCCTTGCCTCTATG